AGAGTTAGAAACTTGAGCGAATTTCGCTCGATCGAGCGAGGTTGCCCGATCGGGCGCAAATCGAGTGAAGGAAAAGATATGTCGCGCGAAGCTCGCCCGATCGGGCGAGCCATAGGGCTAATTTTTCGTTTGTGTTCGCGCTCGCCCGATCGGGCGGAGCGCGCAACTATGATTCTGGAATTTGAGATTATCCGCCCGATTGGGCGAGGCTTGCTCGATCGGGCGCGCATATTTTTGGCCGTCCCCTTATATTTTTCCTCTTCTTTCTTTCCTCACTTTCTTCTTATTTCATCTTCTTCTCCTTTACTTTCTCTCTCTAAAACCTCCATTTTTACACCTTCAAACTCACTTATTTTTCAAGATCTTCTCCAATCCTTCTATTAAAACTCAAAAATTCTTACATATTTTTAATCCTTTCATCTTTCTCTACAATCTACACCCAATTTCTACCATTTTCTCTCAATTTTCTCTAAACCCTAAGAGAGAGAAACCACCCTATTCCTACACTTTCTAATCTTAATGGCTTTCAAGAGATCAAGGACGGTAAGGGGGGAAGGCTCTAGGCAACAAGAGGCGAGAATCGACCGGTATTTGCAAATTCCGGGATGGGAGAGGGTGGTCATCACCACCCAAGAGCAAAAACAGAGGATGCTTAACTTCATCACGAGGCAGGTAATTTCCACTCGTTTCATTCATCACCCTACCCTTATTAGACTAGGAATTGATAAGCATGTAGAAAAATTATTCAAAGGAGTTGGCATGAGCGGTTTCTTTAACATGCATTACGATACTTATGATTATTTAACCTTAGAATTCGTTTCTAGTTTTAATGTCATAAAATCAAATGCTTTAATTTCTCATGTTCAATTTCGTTTATTCAATAATGATGTTAGATTGACATTGAAAGAATTTGGTAAATTTTTTGAGTTAAAATCGAATAGGCCCCTTGAACCGCCCCAAGACAACATTTTCGTTGTTTATCAATCCCTTACGGGGGATCCCAATTTGAATCTCCAACATGCTAAAGGCACTTGGATACAACATCCCGTGCCAAAGATTTGGCAACGGTTTGTTGGCCTTACCATTTTTGGAAGGCATGAAATCGCCAATGTTAGGCGGGATGAGCTTGAATTACTAGGGTCATACATGATCCCTAGGAGTGAAAAGCTCAATATAGTCCATAAAATGGCCAACCACTTCCAACGGGTGGCCAATACGGCCGAGGCGGGTAGGTCTAGGGTACCCATTTATTTTGGTGACCTAGTTACACATATAGCGGTCAAACACCTTATCTTTGTCCCTAACGATGATGGTAAGGTAGTCGGCCCAACTATTATGGACCTAACCTATTTAGGTGGCCTTAATTGGGTTAATGTCATGGGAGGGGAGACTTGGTGGGTGATTCAACGGGAATCGGGTAGGAGAGATAATGCTTTCACTTTACCCCACCCCACCTTGACCAAATTTGAGAAGGGGAAGCCTTCTTACACTTTTGAGCTTAACGGTCAAGGTGAGGTGCAACCACCTCACCCTTCACCTCAACCCCATCACTCTCCCATTGACCACTCACCTCCTCACCATTCACCACATTATCCACCACCTCAACCCTTTTCATACGATATTCCCACTTCCTCTACCAACTACAACATAGACCCCAACTCCCCTTATGACTTTTAGGCTTTTAGGAGCCAATTAGATCGGATTGAGACGAGGCAAGGGAGAATTGAGGGTTTGGTTAGAGATTTGGATACTAGAGTAGGGTCTCTAGATCGAAGGGTAGGGTACGTGGAGAGGAACCTAGGGAGGGGTTTATACCCCATGTATGATGACTACGCCCGTCGGGGGGCTATTCCCCCCGATTCACTTGTCCCTGATTGGTTCCAATATCCGCAAGGTGGATATACGAACCCAAGTGATTTTGGTACCTACGTTGACTACTCATCGGTCCATGGTTATGGGACCGATGTACCTTTTGGTGGGCTTGGGGGGAATGTGGACCCTAACTACTTTGCAGGTGGTTCGGGTTATGGAGGTGGTGGCTCTAGCCATGGATGAGCCGGTTCAAGCCACGGAGGGGGATATTCGATGATGGATGAGGATGAGGAGTAGGCTACTCTCCAAAGTCAATGAGGGCATTGCTTGATTTGGCTTGGGGGGGTGTTCTTTCGCTTGGTAATTCTCTTCCTTTTCTCTTTTTATTTGCTTTCTAGTGTAGTTTTTATTGCTTTCTTATATATGAAAAATACAAAAAAAATTGAAAAATAAAAAAAATCAAAAATACGTTCCAATGAATTATGAATCATACTTCCCTGTGCCCCATACTTGAGAAAATTTGTTTTGATTCTTGGTTATTGATAATGAGCATTGTGGATTTGTTGGTCATGATTTGAAGTATAATTGCTTGGATTCTTAAACATGAGTCAATTTTTCCAACTACTTGTGAATATAGTGCTTGACTAGTTGATTTGGTTAGGAAATGTGTGATAGTTCCATAATTCCTGGTATGTCAATGAATTTGAGTATTGATTTGCAACTATGAGTAGTGTTTCATGACTTATTATTATGCACATGAGGAGGACAAAGGCGTTCATTCTTTTAGGTAGCCTTCAGAGTATTAGATACATTTGTTCCCTTCTTGTTACCCATGTTGTTGCTTGTGCCCTTTTATTGTTTATTTAGCCACATTAAAAGCATATATGAGCCCCATTGGTTATTAGTCCCAAGCTTGGCTTGGGGGAGCTATTATTTGGTGAGGTGAGGGAGTTGTGGTGTGCATATTATTTGCACAATGTGGGAATAAAAGAAGAGTTATTGTTCTTTGATTTTTGATTGGAAAATATTGATATTGTGTTTCAAAGTTGAAAATTCCAATATGAGATAAAAAGAAAAAAAAGAGCAAAAGAAAAAGTTTTATTAATGCTCAAATGTTCTATTTGAAGGTTGTTCAAAGAAAAAGAAAAAAAGAAGAAAAAATTCAAGTAGAAAAAAAAATGAGTTCAATGTTTGTTTTTCACTCAAAGTTCTACATTGTCGTATTTTTATGAGTGATTATTGTAAGTGTTGGGTTTGTTTATGATGATTGGAGTTGTATTTGGTGGTGTTTGTTGGAGTTAGTTATGTTGATGGAGATGTATGATCATCATTTATTTTGATCATGAGTTTATTAGGACCTGGCTCCCTTAATGCATAGCTTTTCTCTCACATAATCCCAAATTTATCCTACCTTTACCCTAGCCTTACAATACAAGCTTTAAAGACCTTCCGACCTTGTGCATAGGAGTTATGTAAATGTGAAAGTGTTGTTTGTCAATGCAAGTTATGACTTGGCATATTTCGAGTCGACTAGTAGGATGAGCGTTCATTGTTCTTATACACACGAGAGTGTGAGTTGGGAGGGCATTGTTCACAATAAAGGGGTTGGTTGGAGAGCGATCGAGTACATCTTTTACTCGCCACATAAATGAGAGTTGAGTGTGTGAGCACTAGTCTTGAATTCTATATGCTCTTGTGGTTTGCTCTACTTGACAATTGTTGGGGAGGAGGGGTGATTAGATGAATAAGATTGATTGATGTTGAAGCATGTTCATTAGATTTGCCTTGAATCGTTGGTTTTTGATTTGATTATTGGGGTGAAGTATGTTTTATATGTTCATTGATGAGCTCTTTGCTTAGGGACAAGCAAAGGTTTGGCTTGGGGGAGTTTGATATGTCCATTTTATATAGTGTTTTACCCCCGTTCCTTGGTCGTTATTAGTAGTGTTTTTGGCTCTTTCGAGCCACTTTTATTACTAATTTGTGTGTTCTAGTGTTTTCGTAGTTTTAGTTATATTTTACAGGAAATTGCACTCTCGGAGCATTTTCCCGGGCTTTATGGATCAACTACGGAAGCTAGAAGGACACGACCACTTTTGGAGCCCAGGATCGGTGAGAGCCGGTGATTAAGGGCTCGGTAATTGGGATCCCGAGGCATTTGGACCAAGTATTCAAGACTCGAGGAGGAAATCCGGATTTGGCCGAGAAATCAAGCCCAATCGAAGTCCAAGCACAAGGAGAAGCAACCGCCCGATCGGGCAACCTCTAGCACGATCGGGCGCGGCAAGACTTTTGTGTTGTGCGTGCTAAGGCGCGCCCGATCGTGCGAGCATCTAGCACGATCGGGCGATGCTTCTTGGGAAGAACGCGAAGAAAAAGGCGCGCCCGATCAGGCGCGCGTTTTTAGAAGACCTGATTAAATTTAGTTCTAATTCTTGTTTTAGAAAACGTTTAAGTACGACTTTGTACGGAATTTTTAGATTACCTTCTTTCTTAGACTTTCTCTCTCTACTTAGTATTTTTCTCTCTCTTAAATTCTCTCTCAACTTTTTTTATTAATTCTTCCTTTAATTCTAGATTTCTTTTTGGTAACAATTTCTTCTCTTTTAATTTCAGTTATTTTATTTGCTTCCTTGATTATGCTTTTATTTATTTATTTTATTAGTTTAGTCATGATGATTTGTGAGTAGTTTAATTTCTAGGGTTTATGGGGATCTAATAAATGATATAAAGGGGTAATTTTGTGATTGTTAATTATCAATGCTTGTTTGATTTCCTATTGATTGTTTTAATGCTATGCAATTAGGTTTGGCCAGATTTAATTGTATGAGTCTAGCAATATTAATTCGAGATTCGACAGATGAGAATTGATATTTAGGCTTATTTTCAATAGGCGGACACTACTACAAAAACACCCTACGGAGTCGCCCTTTTAGAGTCGCCTCAAATTAATAAGTGATGCGTAAGGTTTTAGAGTCACCTCTTACAAAGTATGTGACACCTAAGGATAGATAAAAGACATCTAAAAATGAGTTGAAAGGAATAGAAATCACCTACACTATAACAGGCGACACGTAAACTATACGCGTCTCATCTTTCATTATGTGTGACTCATAAAGTATTACTTTAGGAGTCGCATATTGTCTTTTACTATTACAAGCGACACCTATGTCCAGTTTTGTTTTTATTTTTATTTTCTCACATGGGATACCTCCCTGACTCCCTCTCTTGCGCCTCTCCCTCTCTCATTTTCTCTTGCCTCCCTCACCCAGTCTCCCTCACTCTATCTCTTTGCTCCCATATCTCTAATATCTGATCTCTATCACTCATCCTCCTTCATTCTTAACTAGATCACTGCCATCTTCACCACCTTTCTTCTCTCTCCTTATTCACTAGTGGTTGCGATGGTGGCGACGATGGCGACAATGATGCTTCAATTTTTAGGGTTTCGGTTGATTTTTTTTCTGGGCATGAGGAGTTTCTTCAAATACCCATCTTTTAATGTTGATTATATCTGCAATATTTAGATCTTACGGAGTAACGTAGTTGCTTTTTATTTGTTCAGATAATAGATCTGAAGATATCCATGTATACCGGTTGTGAAGAGTATGGATCTGGGCTTGCATCTCCTCCAACAATAGCGGCGACTTCAACTTTTCCAACAGCAGAAGCAGCGGCTACCACCTCGTCCAACAACCGCGATAGATTTCACCTCCAACCATGGTGCTTCCACCTCCTCCAGCCGCAACGTACCTCCTTGTAATTTCGTTTGAGCATTTGAGCAAGCTAAGGTTAGCGTTTTAGTGTTTTTTACCCAAATTTTTTCACCAAATTTATTGATTTTTATTTTTAGGTTTTTAAATACGATGTAATTGATTCCTCTTGAATACAATCCTTACTTTCTAATTGTATTTTATGTGTTCCATGAATTGAGTTTACAAGATTTGAGGAATACCCAGTTCAAAATTTGATGATTTACACTGTTTTTTATGCTCAATTAATGGATCCAAACCTTAAATCTTAGGTTACGGTTCCATAATTCTGAGGTACAATTGTTAATTTTGTGCATTTTGATTTGATTTTCTTTGTTTTAGGTAAACCTCACTTCATTATTTTGGGTAATTTTGTTGTCTAACTGATGAAGCTCATTCAATGAATTTTGAGGTGTTTAATTTGTTGTTGTTTTTTTGGTACCTTAACAATGATCCATTTGCTTTAAAGTTTGGTACCTTAACAAAGAATAAAAAGGCAGAAAGAGTTCTTTAATTTGTTGCTGAAAATGTTTATTTGTATTGTATATGTGCATGAGTTATCTAAGCAGAACCTCATATTATTTTTGTGATCATAAAAAATTTGAACATCTGTAGTAGGTCTATAGGTTATTGCTTTGAACCGAATTCATTATTGGTTGACCTTTGCCACTTTGAACTGGATTCACTATTAACTGAATTTTGAAGTGGGAACTGAATTCACTATTAACTGAGTTTTAAAGTGGGTATACAACTCTATTAATGTAGAATTGCAGACTACAATAATTAATTTAGGGGTTATTCACTGTAATATGCAAGGAATATCACATTGTTTTATTGGTCATGTCTCGTTGTGAGTCGGTTTCTCTTATTTGGAGGTTTTGAAATCATCATGTTTCACGTGAGTTGTGAGGTTGTTTGAATAGTAGTGTGCCATTGTCTTATAATTTTGGTCTTTTAGAAAGGGAACACTGTAGAATTAATTTCCTGATCTTGTACTTGATTTGAATGTATTTTCCCCTGTCAATATTTCTGTAATAGGTTGTCAGATATATTCAATGCTTAGTAGTCATAAGTTGAAGCCAAATAGTGAGACAATCAGATGAATTATCAACATGAATGTTAGAATGAAATATGTGAGTTTTTAAAATGCACACCATTCTTCATTTTTCATTTCCCTGTTTTAGTCTACTTTTGTTTCATTTACCAGTTCATCTTTTGCTGCTCTCTGTAGTTTGATAATGCATATACCGTATGAAGGATGTGGGAAAGATTAAGAAAGTTCCTTCAGCAAGTATGTTCAATGCTATATTGGCTGGTTATTACAGAGAGGTGAATTTTCCAGTCTTTGGTCTCCCTGATTTAACTAAAGGTAAAATTATACTAAGTTCCTTCCTCTATTTCTAGAATTTGTGATTATTCTTATATAATTCTCAATCTAAAATCAAAATGTCAATTATTTCATGTCATTTGATATAATTTGATAAAGTGCACAATTGCTGCTTAGCTCTTTAGTTTACTCACACTGTATTTTATATACTTCTTACTAATTATTTCATTTTGGGTCCTCAATGACCTTTGAGATGGAGAATTGATTATCTTCTATAATTAAATATTTTAAATTAACTTTTCTTTGCCAAGAATCAGACTTGATTCATAACTCCATTAATTTAATCTTGGACTTGACTATTGAACCTTAGATATATAGTATATATAAATATATATATTGGATTGAACCTTAGTGGAATTTTGTGGCTGTTTGGTTGTTTCTTCGCTGAGCTTGGACCTTATTGTCATTTGTCTTTGTTATTCTAGGATGTATATGTTTATCTTGATATTTATAATGTTAGTTTTATAGAAATTTTTTCATAGAAGTTTTCAAAAGCCTATTAGCTCAAATGGTAGGGCAATGTGCTATTGCACATAGATGTAGGTTCAAGTCCTACATAGGTTATATTTATAGTAGCAAGTGTGAATTTGGAAAAAGAAAAAAATATTGTATTTTGGGCATTGCTATTGAAGAATTATATTTTTCATGAAATTACTTTACGCATCGCCTCATAAAAAGCAGAGGACTCATAAAATACACCTAACGCGTCGCCTATAATGAAAAAGGCGACTTATAAACCAACCTAACGCATCACCTATAACAAAAAAGACGACTCATAAACCAACCTAAAGCGTCGCCTGTAATGAAAAAGGCGACTCATAAACCAACCTAACGCGTCACGTTATAGGCGATGCGTAAAGGGGTACCTATTGTGTCGGTGCCTGTAGTGTCGCCCTTGAAGCGATGTGTAAGATGGTTGAGAGGCGACTCGATAGGGGTTTTTTGTAGTAGTGGGATTAATTTATAAATGGTTAAGTCGAGATTCGACAGATGAGATTTAATACCGGTAAATTAACTCAGTGATTATAATACGTAGCGAAAGCCCTTTATAATCTGATTAACCAATGCTTGATGATTGCTTATTATGAATTGCCCTGAAATATTGTTTATTAGTGAACCTATGCCCTAGGCCTTTAATATTTGATTTTCTCCCTACTTTATTCTTTTCGACTCTATTCTCCGTAGTTTAGATTTTATTCACAAAAATATTGGTTACTTAGATAATTTGGACTATTATAATTAATTAGAAATAGAAAGACCTGTTTCCCTGTGGAGTTCGACCCTACTTCCCTATCTACTGTAGTTAGAGGATTTAGGTAATTATTTTTTATTAGGGGATACGACTTTACCCTGTCAATTGCATATATTGACTTAATTGTTGTACGCTATATGATATATCTGGTCTCGTAAGATTCAGATATAATAGTTTTCCAACAATTCGTCTATAAATTTCTGGATCTTCAATCAATTCTCCTTGCTCGATAGACAATTTGATTCCCTTTGGAAATGGAAATTTTGTAGGTTTACACCCTTCCATTCCAGTAGATTTCAAAATGTCTAAAATGTATTTTCTTTGATTCATGACTGTTCCTTTTGAGTTCCTTGCAACTTCTATTCCAAGAAAATATCTCATCTCACCTAAATCCTTAATGGTGAAAGCTTCATTCAATCCTTTCTTCAATCTCATTACCTCATCTTCATTATCTCTACTAATTAGAAGATCATCCACATACACCAAGATCAATGTTTGTTTCCCATTTTCCTTCTTAGAGAATAATGAATAATCTTTCTTGCTTTGCTTGTATCCTTTCTCTAAGAAATACTTTGTTAGCTCAATATTCCATTGCCTTGACGCTTGTTTAAGACAGTAGATGCTCTTCTTTAATCTACATACCTCACCTTCTTTTGCCTTTGTGTAACCTCTAGGCGGCTTCATGTATACTTCTCATCTAGATAACCGTGCAAAATGGCATTGTTTATGTCAAAATGGTGTAGCTTCCAATTAAGCTTTGTAGCAAGAGCCACTAGAGTTCTCACTGTACTAAGCTTGGCTACAGGTGAAAAGGTGTGCTTGTAATCCTTTCCTTTTACCTGCTTATCTCCTCTAGCTACTAATCTAGCTTTCAACCTTTCAATTTCACCATTTGGTTTAAATTTGATTTTGTATACCCATTTTGAATCGATTGTTGTTTTTCCTGGTGGTAATTTTTCCAAATCCCACGTATGATTGTTCTCCATTGCCTTTAGTTCTTGTTCCATTGCCTTTACCCATTTTGGATCCTTGGCTGCTTCACCATAGTGCGCTGGTTCCTTCACCAAGAGAACATTGTTTAAAGAAGCAATGTAATCTTGTGAATACATTTTCGAGTCTGTTAACTTTGCTGAGATCAAGTTTGCTGACTGATCACCATTTCTTTTCCCTGGTATGTCTGTTATATAATCAATGAATTTCCTTGGTAAAAAAGAATTTCTACTTGACCTTCTCTCACCTCCTTCTGCTTCTTCTTGATTTACATGCTCCATGGGAACTTCTTCTATTAGCTTTGCTGTAAGCTCTTGACCATCATCATTATCAGCATTCAAATTATTGTCAATCTCCTCCTGCTCCAAAATATCAATCTCATCTTCAATCTCTGATAGATCTTTTATGAGACCTCTCACAACACCATTATCTTCATTCGTAACCAAAAAGGGAAATATTTTTTCTTTAAAAACAACATCTCTGCTCACGAATATTTTCCTAGTTTCAAGTTCCATTAACTTATACCCCTTTTGATTGTAAGGGTATCCCAACATAATACATCTTAATCCTCTTGGAGCAAACTTGTCTCCCGGCTTCTTATGCGGGCTTGCATAGCACAAACTTCCAATGACTCTCAAATGGGAATACTCTGGTTCTTTCTTCATGAGCCTGTAATATGGCGTTTCCCATATAATCACTGCATTTGGCAGTAAATTAATTAGGTGAGTAGCTGCCATAATGCATTCACCCCATAAATATGTTGGTAGGCTTGCATGTAATTTTAATGCTCTTGTTGTTTCAAGCAAGAATCTGTGCTTTCTCTCAACCCTTGCGTTCTGTTGAGGCACTCCTTCAACACTTCTTTGATGTATGATTCCTTTATCCGCTAGAATCTTCCCACATTCATTCTAAAAATTTTGGTTCCATTATCGCTCCTCAATATCTTAACTGAGGTTTTAAATTGATTCTCTACATGAGCTAGGAAATTGCAAATGACAGATTTCACATGTTCTTTATTTGACAGCAAATGTGTCCATGTTGCCCTGCTGTAATCATCTACAACCGTTAGAAAATAACTTGCTCCTGTAATAGACTTAGTCCTATAAGGACCCCACAAATCAACATGTATTAAATCAAATATGCTTGCAGCTATTGATTTGCTAGGAGCAAAAGGAAGCTTATGATGCTTCTCTATAGAGCAAGTGTCACAAAAGTACTCCTTTAAATCATTACATTTGCAAAAACTCAAATGTTGCATCTTAGACACAGAAACATGTCCAAGTCTAGCGTGCATCAAGTCTAAATTTACTACTTTATTACATTTCTTCATGCTAACTTCCTGCACTCCTGCCTTCTCTTCATTCATCACTAGCTTATACAGGTCATTCTAATTTTTCCCAAACTTTACATTCTGATCAGTAGAAGGGTCCTGTAACAAGCATCCATATCTATCAAATAACAGTCTTAAATCTGTCTTTTCAACCAATTTCCCGACAAACAGCAAGTTATGTTTGAAGTCATCGACATAAAACACATCATTCAATACCACATTAGGATTTATCCTCACACTTCCAATTTCAGAGACTACTTTAATGGTGCCATCAAGAAGGCCTACCCTAATTCTTTTATCTAGAGTTTTTAAATTGTGCAAAATATTCTTGTTCCCTGTCATGTGGTCACTAGCACCTGAATCTATCAACCAAGTATTATCAGATGAATTTTTTTCATTATTTACTGCATTAATAACTGTAATCTTACCAGCAAGATTGCTCTGGATGCTCATACCTCCTTTCTGCTTCTCTTCCAGTGCTTTCATCACTTCTTGAACCACGTTAGCAATGAAGGTATTGTCTGACTTCATCCCACTTGACTCTCTAGATTCAAGTGGATTATCATTCATAGCAGCATTTACGTCTGCGAGGATATTTGATGCTAGCCTCTGAGTTGATTTTCCCTTGCCATTCTTGAACCATTCCGGATATCCCAACAATTTAAAACATTCATCCTTCACATGTCCTCTCATTCCACAATGGTCACACTTCTTGGCTTGCTTCTCAAGCCTCATTTTCTTGTAATCCTTCTTTTGGTTGTTCTCAATGGCCCCTAAACTTTGGTTTTGTCTGTTTGCATCCAATGCACTAATTTTAGAACCCACATTGTTCATCTCCCCAATAATCTGCTTTTGCCTCTCCACCTGAAGTATCAAATTGTAAGCTTTGTTCACTGGGATGAGAGGTTCAACGCTCAAGAAATTGCTCTTCATCTGGTCATATCTAGAATTAAGTCCCATAAGAAACTTCATGAGTTTGTTGTTCTGCTGCATTTTGAATACTTTCTTCACTACATTACATGTGCATTTGCTCATTGCACCACATGCACACTCTGGTAATTCCTCCAGTTCCTCAATCTGGTCCCATATATAGATCTTTCAGTTTGCAATAATAATCTCCCACTAGAAGATTGTTTTGTTCGAGTTCCCAGAGTTCCTTTTTGAGTTAAAATAGTTGAGGAGCGTTTGTTTGCCCATATCTCTCAACTATTTCTTCCCACAACTTCTTGGTGGACTGCATCGTCACTAGGCTACTCACAATTTCAGGTTTCATGGTAGCCAACAACCATGACCTTACCATGTAGTCACATCTCGTCCATTTCTGGATTTCATCTGGTCCCTGTAGAGGCTTGGGGTGCTTACCATCAAGAAAGGCCAGTTTGTCCTTAGCTCCTAGAGCAATTCTCACACTTCTACTCCACTTTAAGTAGTTGTTGCCATCAAGCATAATGTTACCAAGCGGTGTTGGAGCGCTTTCATTTACAACAATGAAAAGAGGATCCTTGTATGGATTCAAATTGCTGGATGTGTTTGGTTCACCCATTTTGTTGAAAGACTAATTTTTTTGTTTAAAAAAAAAACAATTCAAGAGCCTCTGAAAAACTCTTAACCACCGAGGATCTTACAACCTCGCTCTGATACCATAAAGAAGTTTTCAAAGACTCAAGCTTGTTTATCTGGTTTTCCAATTTGGAACCAGAGTTTCCATTGATAAGCTCTGCTATTGAAAATTTGATATATCAAAAAAACCCTCTTGCGGCAACAAGGCCCAAAAAGGCTTATATACCTGTATTCTAAGAAAACCTACATAGCTGTACAAAAAGACAAAAAAGAAGAAAAGAAATCATGTGAACAAATCACATGTTACAAACACAGTAACAAATGTTTACAGCACACATTAAGCAAAATAAACAGAGCAAAATATATGTGAGGATCAGCACATGATTTTCAATACAGTTTAAACTATTGAAATTACTTTAGGATTTTATTCTTAATCTATTAAATAAATTTCATTTTCATAAGACGACTCTATGCCATTGCATATGTGGTGCAATTCATTTTGTGTCACTAATAAGCATAAAAATAAAAGTTAAGTTCTTTTGAGAATTACCCTTTATGCCTTAATATTGATGTTAGTATAAGTAGAAATAAGGTAATTTGAAAGTAATAATAGATTGATAACATGATTTTGTAATGAAGTAAATTACAAATTTTTCTATAAAAAAAAAACCCTTAAATTACTAAATTAACTGATTTTTAGTTAAGAAAAATGTCTTGGACCAAGCAATCAACTAAGGGCTTGTTCATATTTACTGAATTGAGCTGAACTGAACAGAATTGATTGGAGTTGAGCTGAACTGAACTGAATTGAAATAAATATTTTATGAGATAAGGAAATTAGGAGCTAAACTAAATTGAACTGAAGTGATTGGAGCTAAAATAAACTGAATTGAACTGTAATTAAGACGAAGTGAACAGACTCTTAAGTGTACGAAATTACATATTATGTTATTTTGTAGGTGGAATATGGTCCCACGTAACTACATAATAAAAGACCATGTTTGCAAGACTAGCACGCACTACTTCACTACATTATTGGCGAAGACTACTCATTCATATCTTCTCCTATCTTTCTCTCTCCTTTGACTGGTTCAATCAAAGTCAAACAAATTAGCGTAAGCCATGGTGGTCAAGGTTCATGGAAGCCCACTCTCCAGCCCGACCCTCCGAGTCGTGGCAGCTGCTTATGAAAAGGAGCTTGACTTTGAATTTGTTCACGTTGACTTTGAATCTGGTGCTCACAAGCAACTTCCTCATCTTGCCCTTAATGTAAGTTTATAATTTATGATCTTAGTGTATTGGTCTTTGATTTTGTTTTCTTTGCTCCAAATAATAAATTGTCGTATTAAAAAAATATATTGCAAGTAATAATAGAAAAATTGCAAACATAAATCAAAAAAAATTGCAAACATAAATCACATCTCAGAGAGACCCAAAATAGAAATACAAACATGAGACATCATATTATGAGATTGAGGGATTAATTTTGTCATAAAGGACCTTTTAAGTGCATTTCTTTGTCTAAAAGGACCTTTTAAAGCCAAAGTTGTGAAAGGGGTACAAATTTTGGAAAAAAGTTGTGACTTGGGACCACATGTCGGAATGTCAACGTTGAGTGGTCAACTCCGGCGTTAACCAACACTTGCAGCCACCAATTTCCTCCACCCCATCGCCTCCTTCATTCTCCCCCCTCCCCTTTCACGACAAGTCGACAGTCCAAGCCACCCCCTTTCTCCTCCGTTGTCGACACTAACCCCGAAACCCCATCCCTCTCACAGCAGCCCACTTCTCCCCTTTCCTCACCTCCACTCCCTTTCCTCCATCTCGATTACTGTATAATTTTCAAGCAATTTCCTACACCCAAACCTTATAATTTAGGGATGAGAGAATGGAGCAAAGAGAGAAGATGAAATCAAATTTCTAAATGAGTTTAATGAAATTAGGGTATGAATTAAAATTGGATTAATTTGTGACGAATTTAGGGAAAATTGAGATCTTGGAGATTAAGAACCCTTACCGGAGAGTAAGTTGAAAACGAAGGGGGTGGGTAATCGGGTGAGGAAAAGGATCGGGGACTCGGGGTGGAGGAAAGGGAGGCTTGGGTGCTGCTTAGACAATGGAGGGGGAGAGGGGGGCTAATGGGGGGGGGGGTCTGCCGTGAAAGGGGGAGGGGGGAGGGGTTGGGCTATGGTGGTCAACGCCGGAGTTGGTGGGTCAAATTCCACTTTCCGGCATGTGGTCCCAAGTCACAACTTTTTTCCAAAATTTGTACCCCTTTCACAACTTTGGCTTTAAAAGATCCTTTTAGACAAATAAATTCACTTAAAAGGTCCTTTTTAACAAATTTTCCTTATAAATGAAAAAAGGATCTGAATTACATAATATATTTGATGGGTGTTATGTGATAGTCTTGATAATCAATAACTTAAGGGAAACTATTTGATGATTCATAGTGAAAAAAAATATAGTCATGTAAGATCTTGTTAAGTTTGTCTCAACTACATATACTAACTCCGATTTTTTTTAATTAGTTGCAACGAACTTTGGGGTATTAGTTGAAAGATATAAAATATTCCAAAGTTACAATTAAAAAAAATCGGAGGTAGTATTCATAATATCAAATTATTATAATTTTTACTTATTGATAAATATTACTTTTTGTGCTTGAAATAATACATTAACAATGGATGAGAAGTGTTATAACTCATTCTTTTTTTTTTTCCTTATCATATAATACTAGCCATTTGGTCAAGTACCTGCTTTTGAAGATGGAGATCTCCAACCTTTTGGTGAGTTTACTAGCTTGATTTGCTATTGAATTAAGGTTGTGTTATTCTAGCTATATATGTATGTTGTTCATTAAACTAAAAGACTTTTTGTGAAAAATTATCTTATACATTTTAGTTTTTTGTGAAAAAACTACCTTATTATAAAAATGTTGTAAGAAACTATTTTATAAAATTTAGATTTTGTAAGAAACTACCTAATAAACATTAAATGTTGTAAGAAGCTATCTTTTGCCGGATTATTGCATTGAATAAGGGACGTTTAATGACTCATTTTTAATCATTTTTTCTCCTTTTCCCACCCAATTTCTCCATAGCCCCGCCCGATATAACTCCTAATTATCCTTCTCTTTCATTTTCAAATAAGTTGGGAATCGAGTAACAGATAAAAATAATAACGACGGAAAGAAAATAAAGTACGAAAATAAAGAAAAATAAGACACAATAATTTTACGTGGAAAATCCTCTTGAACTAGGGAAAAATCACGGTTCTAATCTCAAGGAATGAAACGTATAATATTTTTGTGAGTACAAAGGATACAACTATAACTACAATATTAGACAATATGTGTTTACTGTTTAGGACAAAGTGCTACTTAGGGCTTGTTCTGATACGATTATTTTCAGTTCAGTTCAGCTCTAATAAGTTCAGTTCAATTCAGTTCCTAATTTCCTTCTCTTATAAAATATTCATTTCATTTCAATTCCGTTCAGCTCTAATAAGTTCAGTTTAGTTCATCTTTAATAAGTTCAGTTCAGTTTAGTTCAATTCATCTATAATAAGTTCAGTTCAGTTTAGCTCAATTCAGTCAATGAGAAGAGGCTCTTAGTACCCTTTACAATGGTACTTCCACTAATTACCTCCTAATCACCCTCACACTTATTGTGTTTAACTCACACCAATTACTCCATGTCACACTTTTGTTTGTGTATTCTTCAACACTAATACACACACTAATATTTCTTTTCACTCCAAGTTGTCTTCACTTCTCCCTTCTTGTGCACATATGTCAATTGCCAATTATACAGGCAAAAGATACTTGCCCTCCAAGCCTCTATATTAATGCTAGTACCAAAAAGTCAAGGCCTATTTTCCTAGTTTAACACCTTGGAGGGCCAAGGTAAATATAAACGTCAATTTCATCCTTTTTTTTTTTTTTTTTTCATTTTCTTCTACAATACTTCGTATAATAAACAATAATACTACTAATATGTGATTTGGGGAGATTAACCCAACAAAATCAAGCATATGGTAGCAACTTACAACATTTAGTTTTTATAAGATAGTTTTTTACAACAATTTTTATATAAGGTAGTTTTTCACAAAAATTGAAATATATAAAGTAGTTTTTCAAAAAAAATCCTTAATTAAATTATTATGGTGATGGAAACGAACTTGTACTTCGTTTATCAATTTGCTTGAAGTCTACAATCTTTGACAATGGCTACTTTTTGCACCAATCCATATACATGCATGTGAAAACTAATTAATCAATATGCATTCATTAATTTGAAAATGTTCTGTTTTAACAAGAAAATATTATGCATCAGAATCAAGAGCAATTAAAAATTACATAACACACACCTACGAAAGAAATGGGACTACATTGATAAGCAAAGACATGAAACAAAAGGCGATCCAAGCCGTTTGGATGGAAGTCGAGGCTCATCAATTTGATCCAACTGCTACCAAGCTCGTTTGGGAGCTTGTGTTCAAGGCCATGTTTGGAATGCAACCACCCGACATGGCTATAGTCGAGGAGAACGAGGCGAAGTTGGCTAAAGTCCTTGATGTATACGAGGCTCGTTTAAGTCAAACAAGGTACTTAGGTGGTGAAACATTCACCTTAGCTGATCTTCATCACTTGCCTCAAATGAATAGGTTAATGACCACCGGAGTCAAAAAATTATTCGATGAGAGACCTTGTGTGAGTACTTGGTGTTCGGATATCTTGGCTAGACCTGCTTGGAAGAAGACTGTTGAGCTTGCAGAAACGAGTTTAAGGAGCTAAAGCGAGAAATCTATTACTACTCCTGTATTATATTATTTGCAACTTTTGGGTATTATTTGTGAGATTTAAATTTAAAATATACTAAAATTGCATATATTATGAAATAAAGGTGGTACATATATGTACTACGAATTGATGTGATAAACATTTTTAATTTTCCTGTTTTTCTTTCTTAGTAACAAGCCTATATCTGATGTTTGTCATATTGGCTTGTTTGTTTTAATTTAATTGAATCCATTTCCAATAAGGAAAATTATACACCCTTACCAAACATGCTCTAAGTGCATTATATTAGAAGATAGATTATGATATATCTGAAATCTAAGACGACTTTAGCTTGTAGATAATCTTAGAATCATGTCCAATCCTTCAATTTAGGTGCATACAAGTATATAATTTCTATCAGAACATTATCTACAAACTTTATTTGACCCCCAAATTGAGTATATTTGTTTTCCCTATTTTCCAAATAAGCTTACTACAAATGTTTATGAGATCACAATTTTACTCTCATAAGTTACTTAAATTTAAGACTCGCCACTTTTCTCTTTAATCTCATTTTTCATCAATTCATTGAACCAAAATTTAATAAAGTAGATAATTAGGAACAGAGAAAATAATACATGAGTATTTATATTAATTGTTGCGAGTAATCCGTAACGGAGGGAGTATATAAAAAATTACTACCATTGTTTCACATTATGTGCATTAAAGGCCTTAACACGAAATCTTAGGCATAATTTGTTTGTTTTTTATTTATGCAAAGACATAGGGGTGTCAATCGGGTTTTCGTTTCAGTTTTGTGTTCGGTTTATCGGTTTTCGGTTTTTAACGGGTCGGTTTTTAACGGGTTGGAATTATTAACGGGTCAGTTCGGGTCGGTTTTGAATAATTTCGGGTCGGTTTGGTTTGGTTTTTTTTATTACAGTTTCTTTTCGGTCGGATTCTAATCGGGTCGGGTTATAATTGGTTCGGGTCATAATCGGTTCGGGTTAAATTCGGTCGGTTTAAAAACGAGGTTTGTCAATTTAAAGCAGGTTTTGGGTCAACACATATCGGGTCCTAATCGGGTCGGGTTGTAATCGGTTCAGGTTGTAATCGGTTCGAATTGAACTTAGTCGGTTTGACAACTAGTTTTGCCAGTTTCAAACGAGTTTCGTTAACGTATATCGTCTAGTATATCCTCAATATTCTTTAATTAGTTATTCTAGTTGATCATATGGAGTATTAATTAGTTGTTTAACTTTATGTCCCTTTTTTGTATAATGATTTTAAGGATCAAATAATAATAACAAATCTAGAGTTCGCTTTTGATTTAGATTTTAATTTTTTTTTAATACAATATAGTGTTTCATAAGTCATTACTCATTAGAGGACGATAATATTGTAGCATAAGAGTTTCAATGACATCAAAATTCCAAACCTATTCAATATAAATACTTTATAATTCAAATTAAACCCTTTTGTTTTGCTATTGATAAAATATACCCAAAAAAAGAAAAAAAAATTCTACGATCATAACGGGTTACGGACTTACGGATTATAAACGGTTCGGTTATAACCTGTTACGGGTTGTAAATGATTCGATCATAACTTATTACGGGTAATAAACGGTTCAATCCTAACCAGTTACAAGTTGTAAACGATTTGGGTTTATCGGGTTTTTGTCGGGTTCAAACGGTTTCGATTTACAATGGGTCGGGTTGCTATCGGGTTCAAAAGTACTCAGTTCGGGTTGTTCTCGGTTTCGGGTTGTATCAGTTTGGCTTGATATCAGGTACGGTTCATTAACGGTTCTCAAACATTCGGATTGGTTCAGTTTCAGGTTTTTAAAAATGGGGTCGGGTCGGTTTATGGTTTTAAAATAACAGATTTTTAGCGGTTCGGTTCCTTTTCGGAACAGTTCAAAATGGTCCGGATTCACCCGTTGGAGTCGGTTTTGACAGCTCTACAAAGACATAATTTGTTTATAAGTGCACTAAGTGTTACATGGAGAGAGAGATATAGATTAGGAGCGGGGTAAAGAATTTCAAAGTCTTGTGCAATTTTTAAAATTGGGCCCTTTTTCATAATTCAAAAAGAGGTTTTGGTTTAATAACACTAGATAAATATTAATTTCAATTGTCACATTACAAGTTAAATTACAAGAAATAAAACTCTAACTTTTTCACAAGTACTTTCAAGGCCAATTATCTTAATAATTCAATCATATAGCAAAAGATATTATTATCAAAAGTTAGCACGTTGTTTTTATAACTTTGTTGATTAAATTTATACACCATGCCAAAAAAATAATTAAATTTATAGGCAAGATACAATAGAAAGTAAAAGGAAAAAAAAAATATAATACTTACCTATAGATTCTTTAAATGATCATTGTATTAGCAAAATTAGGTGTTTTTATGTAAAAAATTTTGAAAAATAAAGACATAAGAATGAGAGAGAAGCAAAGATACATTAAAGAAATAAGGAAAATTTAACATAAGTGGACAAACCTTTGCCCAGTTCTCCAATATTGGACCAACCTTTAAATCTTCCCATATTAAACTTAAAAATGTAACTTTTCTCCCATAATGGACTGTGGTGACTGGGAACCGGTTTGCGAAGTCAACAGAACGCATGTTGACCTTTGGGTAGTTAGTTTCCCTCCCAAATTAATTGAAGTGCCATTACTGTCTTCAACCAACTATGTCGAATGCCATTAATGCTCAAAAAAGCACCCCTCACCTCTTCTTTTTACCCAATTTTCACTCTCTCTTTCGCTTTCAATCCGTACTCTCCTTTCCCTTTCTGCTAATAGCTGGTCCCCAAATTTTTTTTTCCTAAATTGGCTCTGCAATTGTACTGGATTCGTGTAACCATTGAAGTGAATTTGAAGCAGCTGGGGAAGGTCTTTCGGTGCTCGCTTCCTCGATTTATCAATGGTACGTATTCGGAAAACCCTAATTTAGTTTAATTATGTTGAATTGTGCAAAATTGTGGGCTAAATTGCAAATTTTGTTGAATTTTTTGCATTGAAATTGCACTCTTTTGGTTGTGTTTTGTAGTTAGGTTTAGTTGCGTATGTGATTGTTATTGTTATTGTTGTTATATTTGTGTTTGAAAGATGGTAAATTTATGTTTAATGCTAGATGGATGATCCTTTTGCTGATGTAACTCTTAAGTACTGGTATGGGGGGCGTTTTAAAACCTCGCGTAATGGTACTTTAGTGTATGAGGGTGGAATGGGTAGGACTTTTAGTATTGATCCTGATCAGTTATGTTGGTGGTGGTTAGAGGATTATGCGAAACAGTGTGGGGTTGAAAATGTAGAGTCTTTGCTGTATTTGGAACCAGGGGAGCCATTAGAGAGTGGGTTGAGAAAGGTTTATTCTGACAATGAAGTGAATAGGTTGAGGGATATGCTGATGAAGTTTAGGTGTGTGGAGATATATGTACATAAAGGGGTTGAATTACCTAAGTTAGATCCTATTCCAACACAAGTACAAAAAAAAACATGCACAACCTTTGACCCATGACTTTGCACAGCATAAACTACCAATAAAGAGGGCCCCACAATTACCTTTAATGATAAAAGATGCTCCCTCATAGAAAGATGCTCCCACATCAATTGCTTTGTGTCCTTCCACAAATACAGATACAACCACCCAACCTATTCCTGTTTTCCCAAAAAACAAAGGCAAAGTGAAACAAAATACTCTTCCTTTAGCTTCCTTCTACCAGCCTGCCCCTCTTCTTATTGATAACTCTCCATTTCCAGATCTGACCTCAAACAGTACACTCCTAAATGATGATGATGCTTGGGTTGATGATAGACCAGACAGTCCTTTGGATTGGGGGGAGATTCTAGGGTTGGGTGATGAGGTAGAGGGAGATGAGAAAGATCCCCTTTATGATCCAGCTGTTGATAAAGGTGAAGGGAATGAATTTGATGGTAGCTTAGATTTGGATGATGATGAAGAGAAAAATGGTGAGTTGTTAGCTGGTGGTATTGATGGTTATGACTTTGAGGTGGATGAGGAGGCTTTGACAGCAAGGGAGAGGGTGAGAACTTGTACTGCAAAGTTACAGCAGATTGCAAGTCAGCTACAGAAGGAGGCTGCTGAGGGTAAACTAGGTTGTGAGGCTGATAAGGAGGGTTGGAAAGCACCTGAAGTAGTTGCAGAGGGTTATGCTAGTGAGTATGCTAGTGAGTATGATGAGAGTGAAGATGATTTAATAACCCCACCAAATAGTGGAGATGAGGAAGAAACTAGAGAGCAAAGGAGGAATAGGGCTGGGAATTCAGTGAGTGCAGACACTGATTTCAGTGTTTTCAGTTGGAAGGTGGGGCAGAGGTTTTCATCCAGGGAGGCTTTCAGGGATGCTGTATCTAAGTATGCTATTTTACAAGGAAGAGATTTGTATTATGATATAAGCAACATCAAAGTAAATCAAAGATTAGGTGTGAAGTGTGTGGAGGGTTGTGCTTTCTATTTGTATGGTGCTTGGGAGAGTAGGAGGGAAACCTTTATTGTAAAGACAGTGCAGTTGGAGCACACTTGTCACAGGAACATGAAAAGGAATAGACAGTTAAAGTCTAAATGGGTAGCTAAGCAATTTTTAGAGGTTTTCAAGAACAGACCCCATTGGCCAGCAAAAGAGATAGTTGAAACTATCAGAAGGGCATTTAAGGTAGTTGTTCAAAGAGGATTTGCATACAAGGTGAAGTATGCAGCTCACAGAATGCTTCATGGGTCAATGCATGACCATTATGGTAAGGTTGGAGGCTACATAGCAGCTTTGAAGGGTAGCAGCCCTTGTAGCTCTGTTGAGTTGGTGCCAGTAGCAAAACTCAGCAAGTAGCCTGCACCACCCATATTTCAGAGGCTGTTTACTTGTTTTGAAGGTCTGAAAAAGGCTTGGGAAGATGGCTGCAGGAAGGTGATATGTGTGGATGGGTGTTTTTTGAAAACTTTTTTAGGGGGGCAGTTACTGTCAGCTGTTGGTAGGGATGGGAATGAGCAAATGTACCCTATAGCTTGGGCAGTTGCAGAAGGGGAGAACAACTTATCATGGGAGTGGTTTTTTTACCATCTGAAGAGCAATCTATGCCTAGGGGATGGTGATGGTGTGTGCATCATATCTGATGAACATATGGTGAGTTTTTGTACCTTTTTTAATGTATTCTTTTTTTGATATGTGTGGATGTGATAATGTGTGATGTTTGATGTCTACTAGGCAATTTTTAAATGCTGTGAAAAATGTGCTCCCTAAGGCAGAACACAGGCATTGTGCTAGGCACATATATGCTCACTGGCACAAGACTTACAAAGGGGATGAACTGAAACTGATGTTTTGGAAAATAGCCAAGTCATACAACATGGCAGATTACAATGAAAACCTTGAAGCACTGAGGAAGCTGGACCCTGATGCAGCAAATGCTTTTACAGCATACAATCCAAAATTGTTCTGTAGATCCCACTTAGATACAAAAGTCAAAACAGATGCAATCACAAGCAATATGGCAGAAACCTTCAATGGCTACATCATCAATGCAAGAACAAAGCATCTGATTTACATGCTTGAAGAGATAAGGGCCAACTTGATGCAGAGGCTTGTGCTGAAAAGGCTGGAAATGCAGAAATGCAACTCCTTTCTGTGTCCAAACATCCAGACAAGGTTGGAAAAGGAGAAGATTAAGGTTTCATATTGTGATGTTATGCCTTCATCAGAGACATTGTTTAATGTCAGCTACAAGTTGGATTCTCTGGTTGTTAATTTAGAAGCAAAAACTTGCACATGTAGAAAGTGGGACATGGTTGGAATACCATGCTGTCATGCAGTGGCTTGCATTTTTTTCTTGCACCAAGAAGCTGAGTCTTATGTTGATAGCTGTTACTGGAAGGAGGTGTATTTTCAAGCATATGCAGGTATGAAGCTTAATGCTAGTCTAACACTAACTTTATGTTATACCTATGTAAGTCTAACTTTTTTTTTTTATGCAGGATCAATTCCACCTTGTGAAGGGGAGAGACACTGGCCTGCAGTTCAGTGTGTTATGGACCGTAACCCTATTAAGATAGGGCCTGGCAGACCCAGGAAAAACAGGATCAAAGACCCATCTGAAAATCCATCTAAGCCAATTAACCTCACTAGAACAGGGATGGAGATGACATGCAGTAATTGTCATCAGAAGGGCCACAACAAAAGGAAGTGTGCTCAACCAACTTCCACTGCCACTCAGCCTCCCACCAAGAAGCAAGCAACTGTAGATGCACCTCAACAACAACAAACACCTGCTGCTGCTGCTCAATCACATCATGAGGCTACAGCACAGCCAAGCCAACTTGGGAGGGGTGGGAGAATGATTAGAGGAGGGAGGGGTTCTAGAGGAGGGAGGACTGGTTCAGCTTCTGGTGGAGAGAGTAGAAGTGCATCTACAACAGGACTAGGAAGGGGATCAAGAGGAGGCAGAGGCTCAAGGGGAGGCAGGGGCTCAAGGGGAGGCAGGGGCTCAAGGGGTGGAAGGGGCTCAAGAGGTGGAAGGCTACCACTTGGTGTGGGAGTCCTGTTTGGTGTAGATGGTTTTGTACATAACCAGGGTCCTTCTCAATCTGATGTACACCAGGGTCCTTCACAAGTCATCCAGGTTGATATCCCCACTCAAACAAGCCACATCTGATGTATGGCACTACAAGCTGCTGTAATGCACCCTTATTTTGGCAAGAGCATGTTTCTTGATGTTGCTTTTGATTAGTGAACAATGTCTTTTGATGAACATTTTGGTATTTATTTTTAAGCAACTGAGAACTAAATCAAGTTGATGTACTTTGAATCAGCTTTGACTTTTTATTTTGGAAGCCTATTATTTTAGCATTTGATTGCCCACATTTGTGTTTGTTTTCAGTTATTGCACAAATATCACAAACAAAATAGTATGGCAAAATAGAACTCTTTTTTTTTTTATTGAAAAAGCATTCTTAACATCACCAAATAACAACTACAAACAAACAACAACACTGCAAATTCATGTTCCTCCTACATCATTGACATAATCACTATCCCAAACAAAACCCAAGACAAAATCAAAGCCAAATAAAAATTCCTCTCATTCCTTGCACTCTTCATCAACTCAATTCTCAATTGACTGGTTTCCCCCTTCAGTTCTTGAAGATCTTCTTCCAAGTTCTCTTTTTTAAGCTGAACCCTCTTCACCTTATCTTCCAGCATCTGCTTGTGCATCTCTAACTCAGCAATGGTTGTTTCTTTTTCAAACAATTGAAACCGTAGATCATCAACTTCATCCCTCACACCACCTATCCACTTAAAGAACCCACAATCAGTATCCTGCACATTACACCACAATTAGGAAATTAAAGCATAATACAATGAAATTAAATTGGATAAACCAGATCGCTAATGCCCCAATTAAGTTCTTACATGCCATAATGGACAGCCATGGAACTTCAACCCCACATTTGGACCATTCTTCACCGATCTCACAACCGCATCTCTTCCACAATTACATTTAATCCTGCCAATTGACCCTCCCCTTGATAAAGAAGAAGACCTTAATGTTGCAAATTAATGCTTTTGACCTCTCCATTGATGACTAATTCAAGGAATTGATTTTCGAAGATTTTTAATCGAGCAATTTTGTTCAACAATACAGGAGGTCGTTGCTATTTAAATCAAAATAATTAAAAAAAATTAAAAATAAAAAACAAACCCAACGGTAAGTGCCACGTCATCCCTAAACCGGTTACAACAGGTTACGTTACCTGTTCAGTCCATTATGGGAGAAAAGTTACATTTTTAAGTTTAATATGGGAAGATTTAAAGGTTGGTCCAATATTGGAGAACCGGGCAAAGGTTTGTCCACTATTGTAAATTTTCCAAAAAATAAATAGACAACTTTTAAATAAATCGGATGTACAATCATTCGTTATAAAGTTACCCCTAAAATAAGCAAATCGAACCCGTGACTTCCCTTCAAAACCAATTTGTCCAACTTGTGAACCAAGGTGATCTTTATTTAACTTTATAATCATAATAACATTTTATCTGATTTTGGGACCTCAATATTTTGAGGGCTTGCGCGGTCACCCAAGTTGTTCCACACCTCTTTTGCCCCTAATGTAGATGCATGTAATGAAGATAGATATAGAGAATATAATGAAAACATAAAAAGGAAGGATTTGTTGCACACAATGCATGTATAGAAACTTTATTTAGTTAATGTTGCACATAATACGAAACAAAGGTAGTAAGTAAAATTTTGTAAAATTATCTGTTAGGACCTTGTTCACTTCAAATAATTACTACGGAGTATGTAAAAATAAGTTTTGTTTAGTAAGTATAAATATGTTTAGTTTAGTAAAAAAATCAATAAGCTAAGTATACAAAAGAAATATAATAAGGACTCGGTAAAAATAATTGCAATTCAATCAAAATAATTTCAGTTTAGCAAAACTAAAATTAAATTAACTAGATTCATTTAAAATAATTTCAATTTTAGTAAAAATAATTTTAGTTTAGCAACAAAGTGAACAAGGCCCATACTTTTTGTAGTTTTGTTGAATGATTATTAAACGTACTAGTAATTAATAATTTATTATCAATGTTTGCTGGAAAAGATGAATAATATCAATTTTTTGCAATTTTAAAATAACATATACTTTCTCCATTTAATATTAGATGGCATATTTCATTTAGGTCAAAGTGCACACTTTCTAATGCAAGTGTATATCCTTAATTACTTATAAACATAAACTATTTTTTTTAAAAAAAAAAATTGATGTTGAGACGAATCTAACAAGACCCCTACATTACTATATTTTATTCAACACAAATCACAAAAAAAGTCAAAGCAAGTTATTTGAATAGTGCATTAAGTCAAAGTGTGCAATCAATTTGAAAGGAAGGAAGTATATCTGGAAAAAAAAAAGTCAAAATTAAAAAAAAAAAAAGTTGAGGTGTATTATTCAAAATCTTTACATACAAGTATACAATTAATTGTACTCCCTCTTTCCCTCATGTTCACATTTAGTTAATTTCAGTTTAGTTCAGTTTAGTTTAGTTCTAATCAGTTCAGTTCGGTTCAGTTTAACTCTAATCAGTTCAGTTCAGTTCAACCCAGTTCAGCTCTTAATATTCCTCTCTCATAAAATATTCAGTTCAGTTCAATTCGGCTCCAATTAGTTCAGTTCAGTTCATTTCAGCTCCAATCAGTTCAGTTTACTTCAGCTCAGCTCAGTTCAGTAAATGTGAACAGACCCTTCATTAGATTCATGTTTTTCTCAAATATATGGGGAATAATGGTAGAAATAGAATATAATTAAAGGGCGAATGGGAGTATGTTAGTATGTTACAAGGTTAAACTAGTTTCTCATTTTGTTCGATATGCACGAATCAACAAATCAATTTTGCTCTAGAATGAGTAAATAAGTTTTTCCCATCTTACACAAATAAGCTACTCGGGTTTACATTACTCATTTACTCGATAATTTAATTTAATTTGCTCATTTGATCAAACTAAGAAATACATTTGTTCATCGATTATAACCAAATGATCAATTGTATCATTAAAATTACCAGTATTACAATATTTTTTGAAAACTTTAATTTAAATGAAAAACGGCTAGGACGGCAACTAGAAACCCCACCCAAAGTCCCAAAGTATAGAACGTCACTGTAGACGTAGTTAAGAAAGTCAATATTCTCATCCAATTTTTTATATTTATTTTTAATTTAATTATATATACATAAAAAGAAGAGTCAAAGTCAAGAAAAAGGGGGCGTTACATATTATTATTATATGGACAAATTCTTCTATATTAAGGAATATTGCTCCTACTATAAATAGTTTACGTAATATATAAGAGATTTCATCATTTAATTAAACGACTCAAATTATCTCATTGATAATTTTTTGAGTAAAATTATTGATTGCCTACTTCATCTATTTACTTTTCTCTTTATCTAGCTAATTAAGCCATAGCCATGGGAGTCAAGGTTTACGGGATCCCTCACTCAACCGCCACTCTTCGAGTTTTAGCCGCGATTCATGAGAAGGAGCTTGAGTACGAATTGGTCCCCGTCGACTTGAGATCCGGTGCTCACAAGCAAGAACCTTTTATTTCCATCAACGTAAGTTTTGTTAATATTAGCTTATTATAAATTATAGAATCGCTTGTCCATTTTATTAGAATACGTTTCTATTTTAAATTTATTTGATTTAGTTAAGTTACATTATTGCTTTACTCGAAAGTGATTGTACGTCTTTAATTAATTGATATATCATTTATTCACCATCCCATTCCATCTATTTATGCTAAAACATAGCTAGTTGTATGTGTGTATATGGACATATTAGGACTACGTACAATTATAAGGTTATAGGATTTATTTTGCTCTAAGATTGAGTTGAATAGATGATTTTAGAATAGTTCATCGTTTGTAAGGATATCACACCATTGCAGCGTATTAAGATTTTTTGATAGTACTATTATTACCGGAAGAAAAAAAAACATTGTTTAATACGTAGTAGCATATGATATAAATATAGTACGTAAAATACTATTTAAAAAAGAAAGTAAATATAGTACGTAAAATAAAAAAAAAATAATTAAAAATGCAACTTTATACTTTAAAAACTATATATTCAATAGAGAACGTGATATATATATGCGTGATAACATTGTCTTATAAGTGTGATCCATCAACTAATGGATGTGGAGAATATAAAATTAAGTATCACTATACTTTATAGAGTTAGATTAGTTTCTTTGCTAACAAATTTAATGTTTTTATTTTGTCTTGTAATTTCAGCCATTTGGACAAATTCCAGCTTTTGAAGATGGAGATCTAACGCTATTTGGTAAGCTACGACGCCTTAAACTAAAATTTAATTATTAAATGGTTACTATAAAAAAATATAATGACCAAAAACAATATTGTAAGAAGATCAAATTTACATTTACAATTTGATTGCTTTTTTTTTTTTTTTTTTTTTTTTTTTTTTTTTGTAATCAAAATGAATTAATTAAAAAATAATCTTAAACAGAATCAAGGGCAATAACAAAATATATTGCATACACCAACGAAGGCAAAGGAACCTCGCTTATATCAAAACAAGGAAAGGAAATGGCTAACTTAGCCGTGTGGATGGAGGTCGAGGCTCACCAATTTGATCCAGTGTCTACCAAACTATCATGGGAGCTAGTTTACAAGGGTTTTTTCGGTATGGAAATTGACAATGCTGTTGTCGAGGAGAACGAGGCTAAGTTGGCTAAGGTCCTTGATGTTTATGAGGTACGTTTGGCCAAGTCCAAGTACCTAGCTGGTGACTCGTTCACTTTAGCTGATCTTCATCACTTGCCTGGATTTCAATACTTAAATGGTACAAAAGTGAAGCATTTGTTTGATGAACGTCCTCATGTGAGTGCTTGGTGCAAGGATATCTTAGCTAGACCTGCTTGGGAAAAGGTTATGGCTTTGCAGAAACAAGCTTGAAATGTATGATTAATGTTATCGCGATTTTAACTACTCTTTCCCTAATGTACGTGATAATTATTGTAATGTGTACCATGTTAAATTGTATGCTTGGTGTGTTACTTTATGTGAGATTTTGTTCTTTATTTTTTTTTTCTTGGTAATGGCGTCGAAAATAAAAATGTTGACCCTAAATGAAAGTTTTGTGCATTATAATCATGTACTGTATTAGGAGAATGCATCCTACACAAAGGTCTTGTTATTTGAGTACTTATATTACAATACTTTTAGTTGTTTGTTTTGATTTGATTTCTTAAAGACTATACATTGTGTCAGGTTTATTTTGTGAAAAGTGGAAACAAAAATATTGTGAAACGTGTAATCAATGGTAAAAATTACTTCCTCCGTTACGTATTATCTGCAACAAAATGGGTTACACGTTTCCCAAAAAGAAACTTTTAAGGGAGATTAATCAAGGAAAGCTCAAATAATTAAAGTCATAAAAGAACACCACCACCAGACTAGACCCACAACCACCCAAACCCGCCCAGACCCACAACCACCCACAGACCCGAAACCACTCAGACCTGCAACCGCCCAGACCCATAACCATCCAAAACCAACCAGACCTACAACCACCTACCAAGAACCGAGCAGCGCAACCACCAAACCCGCAACCTCGTAACCTCGGCCCTTCCCTCTCCCACCCAGTCAACCACCAACCACCCACCTGTCCCACCATCTCCCCAATCACCAAAACCCACAACCACCCACTCACCTTCCCCTCCACTCGAAGTCGACAACCACCCACCGCCCTCCCCTGTCCTCGAAATCACCACCAACCACCCTAAAATATGAAGAAAAAAAGCTTAATTTGAAAAGTATTACCTCCTCATCGCTAATTTGGGGTTTATTTGGTCAAATTTGACCATGAAAACTCCTAGAGTTTTCATGGTTATGTTTTACCATAAAAATCTCAACTTTAAGCTTTAATGGAAGAGGAAGTGACGGCGACGACTTTAATGGAGGAGGAAGTGGCGGCGACGACTTTAATGGAGGAAGTGGCGGCGACCCAATCTTATGGTGGCGGTGGTGTGGTGATTGTGAAAGAAGAGAGAGAAGATTGGTGGTGAGGGTGGCTTGAAAGAGAGGAGAGAGAAAATAGGGTGGTGGTGGAGTGGTGGTTGTTAGAGAAAAGAGAGTGGAGGTAAGGGTGGCTTGAGAGAGAAAATATGGTGGTGTGCTTGTGAGGGAGGAGAGAGATTGAGTGTTAGTGTTATTATTGAGGGTTAATCAAGTTAGGTTATTAAGTTAATGTGTTAATTGGATTGAAGTAAGGTTTTTTTTTTTTTTTTTTTTTTTTTTTTTTTTTTTTTTTTGTGTCAAAAAAATGTAAGGGTTTTTTTTAGTAAATTTACTCAAAAAAATTTACCATATAAGGAAACTTTTTTTTTGTTGCACATAACTTGTAACATCTTAAAATGGAAAATGTTGCACATAATGTGTAACAGAGGAAGTATTATTCCATGTTGTAAAGGGAAAAAATGCATATGAACATTCATATTTGCTATACTAATCATCATATGACAATATGACATATGTACAAATCATATGAAAGAATAATCTGGTCATTTCACAATAATATATTTGTTAAACATTTGGATTAACTTTTTACATGTGTTCTATTTTAATGTACAACAAGATTTAATTTAATAATAATTTTGACCAATAAATGAAATTTAATATTTGTTTCAAGGTATTATTTAACCAAAAAAAAAAAAGTGTATATAAATGTATTTCTGGCATTTGCAAAGAAGTTAGATATTATGAAATAGTCGATTGCTACGAGAATGAATTCATGCCCCCCTTGTCCTGGTGGTGTTATTTTTCTAATGATGTCAATGCCCCAAGCGGAGAAAGGCCATGGAGAAGTATATATGTAGAGAAGCGAAGGTGGAACATGCTGTAAATTTGCGTAGACTTGACACTTCATACATTTCTTGACGTATTCGTGATAATCTCTCTCCATAGTAGTCCAATAGTAACCTTGTCGTTGAATCTCTAACATTTTTTCATTCATGTGTGTTCCACATATACCGGCATGAAGGTTTTCCATGGTTTTATGTGCTTCTCTCTTGGCTATGCATAAGAGATTTTTTCCCATTGCAGTTCTCTTGTGGAGTTCTCCCCTGATGAGCACATACTGTGAGGCCAGGAGTCTCAAAGCACGGCGTGCCCTTTTATCAGTATTAGGAGGGTATTCTCCTCTTGTCACATAATTAAGGACGTCTGTATACCATGGCTCTTCATCTTCTTCTTGTGGTTCTTGTTCATCGTCCAGTGCGTGAACATAAGCCGGCTCATATCTTCTTTCTATGGTCAGTGGCATTCTGATTGTATCAGTTGGAATTCGCACCATTGATGCTAATTTAGCTAGTGCGTCGGCGAATCGGTTTTCTTCTCTTGGCAAATACGTATATTCCACTTCATCTAGTTGCTCCGTGAGAGTTTCTAAATGAGCTTGATACGTAGCAAGACTTTCACTTCTCTTTTTCCATCTCTTGGAGATTTGGTTAATGATGAGTGAAGAATCACCATAGATTCTGAGTTTCTTAATCCCCAAGGCGACAGCTGTTTCTAACCCCAAAATGCATGCTTCATATTCTGCGGCATTGTTGGTGACATCAAAGTCGAGCTTCATGGAAATTGGGATGTGCTCTTCATTGGGTGATACAAGCAAGACTCCTACACCACATCCTTTTTGGTTTGAAGCTCCATCGAAATAGAGTGTCCAGCTATCATCTTCAGTCATGAGTGAATCTTCGTCAGGGAAATCGTACTCATCTTCTTCTTTTTCAACTTCTTCTAGCGAAAAGTCCGCTAAGAAGTCAAAAACCGCAGAACCTTTGATGGCTTTTTGTGGCACAAATCTCAAGTCAAACTGAGCAAGATTGACTATCCACCTTGATAATCTGCCATTGAGTGTTGCTTTTTCGAACAAGTATTTGACAAGATCCATCTTGGACACGACATGCACTGTATGAGTAAGCATGTAATGTCTTAATTTCTGTGTGGCCCATACAAGTGCGAGACACAACTTCTCAAGTGGTGTGTATCGCGTCTCATATCCTTGAAGTTTCTTGCTCAAGTAATAGATTGCATTCTCCTTGCTTTTGATCTCTTGTGCTAGCATTGCCCCCATCGTTTCTCTTGTGACCGTAAGGTAGAGTCGAAGAGGAAAGTCAGGAATTGCTGGCGCTAGCACGGGTGGGTTTGCCAAATACTCTTTGATTTTGTCGAAAGCCTTTTGGAAATCGTCATCCCATGTGACTGGGACATTTTTCTTGAGCTTCTTGAATATAGGTTCACATATCGCTGTGAGCTTTGATATGAACCTACTTATATACTGCAACCTTCCAATGAAACCTCGAATCTCCTTCTCATTTTTGGGTGGTGGCATGGCCATGATCGCTTTTACTTTTGTAGGATCTATTTCAATCCCTTGAGAACTGATCACGTATCCAAGTAATTTGCCTGACGTGACTCCGAATGCACATTTTGCTGGATTTAATCTCATGTTGTACTTGCGGAGTCTTTCAAAGAACTTGCGAAGTGCAATAATATGGCCTGGGAAATCTTTAGACTTAACGATCATATCATCGACATAGACCTCCACCTCTTTGTGCATCATGTCATATAACAATGCTGTAGCTACTCTTTGGTAGGTGACACCTGCGTTTTTCAACCCGAATGGCATTACCGTATAGCAATATGTACCCCATTGCGTGATGAATGTGGTTTTCTCCATGTCTTCTTCGGCCTTCAATACCTGATTATATCCGGCGTAACCATCCATGAATGACAAGAGTGCATAGTTTGCTGTATTATCGACCAGAATGTCAATGTGAGGTAGAGGGAACCCATCTTTTGGGCTTGCTTTATTGAGATCCCTGTAATCAACACACATTCTGACCCTTCCATCCTTCTTTGGAACTGGAACCACATTTGCTATCCATTCTGGATATTTGGATACTGTGATGAAACCTGCGGCCAACTGCTTCCTGATTTCTTCCTTGATTTTGCAAGCCACATCGGGTTTCATACGGCGCAACTTTTGTTTGACAGGCTTCATACCTGGAATGACTGGTATCGTATGCTGAGCTATATCCCTGTCAATTCCTTGCATATCTTGGTATGACCAAGCAAATACATCAACAAATTCACTAAGCAAGTTAGCTAGCTCTTTGCGTTCATCTTGACTTAGTGTGAATCCAATTTTTACTTCTTTAACAGTCGTATCATTGGAAATTTAACTGTTTCTGTATCTTCGATAAGTGCTGTTTTATTTTCGTGTTCTTCCATTGCTTTTATTATTTCTTTGTCATTTTTATCATTAGCAAAGCAATATTGATCAGGGCTAGGGGAATGACACGCATCGTAAGCAAAGGTACTCATTTTATTGAATTCATTGTCTAATACATCAAGAGGGGCAAGGTCGGCTGCGACCTCACCGAAATTATTAGGACTAGAAAGAGAGGACTCAACAAGAGACTCAGGGTTGAACTCTATAGCAGAAAGAGGGTCGGCCTCAGACTATAAGGACTCATCTACGGACTTAGACTCAGACTCGGACTCGGACCCAGACGACTCAGACTCATCAAACATAGGACCCTCGCCAGCGGTTATTTCCAACTTCTCTCCACTTGGCGTAATGATCCTCAATGTCTTGCGCTATCCCCTTGAAATGTTGTCGACTTGGACGATTAACTTAGAGGGGTCAAAATCCTTGTTTGCTATGACAGCTTGAACTAGCTCGGATTTGTCATTGCGGACCGACTTAAACTCATTCTTCTCCAATCCAAAAAGGAAGTTGATTCCTAGATCATCAGAACTCGGGCTAACTGGCTTATCGGTTGTGAAGAGCTCTTCGTCTTTATCAACAAAGTCACAATCGAGGAACACCTCGAATCCTGGTTCACGGATCCCATCATGGACGAATGGCTCAGGGAATTCATAGCATGGGAAGTCTTCCCCTTCTTTGATGTACTGGCCATTGAGGGTGAACGGATATGGATCCATGGCCATTTCCGTCTTCGTGATTCGAGCATTATTGCGAGCCTTCATCTTCAATAAAGCTTGTTTCACATCTTATTTTGTTGGCTTGAATCCCAAGCCAAAAGTATCCTTCTTGAGTGCACTAGGATGGCCCCAAGATTCAGCCATTTTCTTCTTGAGTCCAAGGGTCATTCCAGGGAAATGACCTTGATTCTTCAGAATGACATTGATATTGGTGTTTGAATAGGG